TATCAGTGATACCATCAGGGCTTGCTGCCAGCCATGGGTCTCCTGCACACACCACCAACCCTCTGTCCATCACTATGCAGCCCCTCTCCCTAATCTGCTCTTTTGCAAGTCCCTTGTTTTCTTTTAGAGGGGAGCTGGTAGCTTGATCTTTTTGCCAGGTTTCAAGAAATCACACTGAGCTACTGGTCGTGGATCGGCCTAAAAGGATATTTGAAATCTACATTATACATAAATGTACATTATGAAAACAATAATTATTAAGGAAAATAGCCATGATATATGTAATGTTGTACAAAATACCACCAATTTCACACTGAAATGTGAAAAGACCAGGATATAATTATTTAATATATTAAATATAATAATTGCAAAAAAAAAGCTCCCCTTCTTAGTCACCCGTGACCAAACACTTGGTTTTGAAGTGACAGATGGGCCACTCTGGAGTCCATCCTGGACACACTGCTCCACAGTAACCAAAATCGTACCCACATGACTACACACCTCTCCATTGCTGCACAGATCCAGATAGACATTTTATTGAAAAAGGTTATCTAAATGCTACTGTAAAATGTAACGTTAGCTGTATTGTTTAGTTAGCCAGCTATACTTACCCTGCCATGCAGGTACAATGCCCACTCTGGACTTCGCCGAACTTCCTCGCAACGATCCAGGCGGAGTAGTTCTTTGAAAGCGTCTGACCCGCCTCGACTTCCCCGTAAACAACACAGGTATTTCCATTCGTGTAGGTTAGAATGCGTTTAACTTTTCCGGAATGAAAATAGTTATACGCATCCAAGCTGTGATATGCCTTGAATGCCTCACTTGTATATACACATTCCTTCTCGACTAGGTATTCAAAGATGTGTACCTGACTGACCTCCGGTAAATCAGACAGGTCTGTAGAAAAACATTCTTGCCTCAACATTTTGTTGAACGGGTCTGGTAGTGTAACTTTGTCGCATTTAAGTTTGGTCAAATAACAGTTCTTTTCTTCTACTGGTAACCCAAAATAATAATGACTAGACATAGTTTTAACTTGCTAGCTAATTTACTTGTTATTTATTTAGCTTATTATTAGAACTAATCTACTCTAGAGGGACTTTGCTGTTGTTGTTGTTATTGATTGTTTGCGAAAGTCTACCAGAAGTTAAGTTAGGGCCACAAAACCGCGCATGCGCAGTAACGTTTGTTTATTTGTTTAGTTGTTGTTGCCGTTGAAACTGTCTATATATATATATAGAGAGAGAGAGAGAGAGAGAGAGAGATAGATATATACACACCTCCCCAAACTTTTGAATGGTAGTATAGGATAAATATATGAAATCACAAGCGGTCACCTGAGATGCAATCAAGACGTATGTTAGTCCAAGTGCAAACAGGGCCTATGATGGAAACAAAGACAGAGAGACTTGAATCATGACAAACTTTTTCAAGGCATTGCATCGATTTCTGAAGGTAAAAAGGTATGAAACAAGCATTGAATGAACATTTGAGGGCAAGGCAATGTGAAGGAAACAGCTGAAAAACTGCAGTAAAAACTGAAAGAAAGAGGTTTGCATTGTACGGTGGATTCATGTTGAAACGGCTGACACATACCTTGTTCAAAAGAGTCTCTTATTGTGTCTTTTTCAATTTAAAAGTCCCCTGTTATACAATCAAGAAAATGTTAATTTGTCAGAAACAGGACTAACCCCATGAAAGTTCCACAATCATATCTATGCAGGTAATGGTGTAATAGTAGCAGTACATTTATGCCTTGAGACATTGTAGACTCAAGGGGAAAGCTAGTTGAAAGAGTAAACTCACAATGAATCATCTTTGCAAATGTACACGCTACAGAATAAAGTCTTGAAAGCAAAAGGTCATCTAAATGTCGCCCTACCCAATGTTTTTGACTTCTGCTCAAATAAAAAAGAAAAATCTAATGCATTAAAGAACCTTCAGTATAGCTTTTGCAGGGCTTACTGTCATTTGGTGTTGCTTTCAGACTAGTTTGTAATTTTGATATTTTATCTGTATAAAAGCGGTGAATACCAAACAGGTCTCACTAACAGCTATTTCAAAAAGCTATTGCATTTAAGTGCACTTTCAGGGCAAGTGAAGTGTTACCTGATGCCATGTTCCTCCAGCCAAACTTTTTAATGGAATCACTCCTGCGGAGAAAGACCACTCAGGACAAACTACTGCATGCAGAGTAACACCTAAGAGCACTAAAATCTAAATAGTATAATCTGCTTTTAATGTCCCCTGACATACATGTACCCATCCATCTCAAGTTCAAAAAAAGTTCATATTGAAAGACTTTTAATACTTTTACCTGACCGACAAGAGGCAATTCTATGAAAGCCTGTTTCTTCCATAAAATAAGATAAGATAAGATAAGATATAAGATAAGATATAAGATATAAGATAAGATATAAGATATAAGATAAGATAAGATAAGATAAGATAAGATAAGATAAGATAGGATAGGATAGGATAAGATAAGATAAGATAAAATGGCAACTGTGACTTTTTCCTTGTGAATCTATATTCCACAATTCTGACTTTCATTCTCGCAACTCTGAAATCTATCTATCTATCTATCTATCCGTCCGTCCGTCCATCCGTCCATCCATATCATTACTATAATTTTATTTATTTATTTATTTATTCATTTATTTTCAAATCACACTATATTTCAATTTGATTTCAAGAATCATAATCAGTATCAGATTTCAGATAATTCACCTTCATGTTGTTCCAAACCTCTATGACTTCTTCTGTGGGGGGAGTCAAACCTAAAAAACTTCTGCATTTAGCAGATTGTCCAAGCTCCTCTTTACTTGTGTGAAGTGCAAATAAATAAATAGTAAGTGAAGTTTTTTTATTTATTTTCTTCCGCAAGACCCACTTAGTGTGACTAAAATTTTTATTTTATTTTATTTTTATTTTCAAGTTTTTATGTAAAACTTGCTGAAATTGCTCAAAACCTTAATATTAAAATGTGTATTATTTCTTTAGTCATCCTCCCCTTTTTTTTTTTTTTTTTTGGTCCAAAACAAATGTACCATGCATGGCAAGCAGGGCAGGCCTAAATTTCAAAAAGTCCTGAAGCCCAAGACTGTCATCTTGTGGTTGTGTTTGATACTGCACAATCTTGCTATAACACATCCCTGCATTATGCAATGTGGGGAAATCAATCAGGCCTATTTCTGCTACCACCCATAATCCTGCTGGGTAGCTCATTAAGCATCTCTTGTGTGGAAACACATAATAGAGACATCCTAATTCAACGCTGAAGCACTACTGACTCTTTTTATCGCCACACATATACCTCCTGCTAGCCTTTCATCTCAATACATCCGACCACCCTACCTGAGGCACAGAGTGGAGAAAAAAAAATGAAACAGAGGTGGGGAGGCAGCAAGAAGACCCAAACATGGAGGGACCAAGGAACAGAAAAGAGAGAGGAACAGATAGATGGAGAGGGACATGGCAAATCGTACACTGCAGTCCTGTCCTTGAAAGATCATCTTTGATGGCTGTCCCCACGGAGGTGTTGGCAGAGGATAAGAGAGAACACCAGTGAGTTTTTGCCTCATGTCTTATTCTTTTTGAAACGTTCAGCCTGCTGGCTTCATGAAGCAGGATTGTGTGACTCAAGTTGGTTTGGACCTGGAAGAGCCATTCCTAAGCCTCTGCTGGCAATGAGCTTGTCATCTGTTCATTAGCATTTGATTGAACATAGTAGCCACTAGAGGTGGGCAAAATATTGAATACACATTTGCTATGATTTTATGAGATGATAGATAGATAGATAGATAGATAGATAGATAGATAGATAGATAGATAGATAGATAGATAGATAGATAGATAGATAGATAGATAGATAGATAGACAGACAGACAGACAGACAGACAGACGATAGATAGATAGATAGATAGATAGATAGATAGATAGATAGATAGACAGACAGACAGACAGACAGACAGACAGACAGACAGACAGATAGATAGATAGATAGATAGATAGATAGATAGATAGATAGATAGATAGATAGATAGATAGATAGATAGATAGATAGATAGATAGACAGACAGACAGACAGACAGACAGACGATAGATAGATAGATAGATAGATAGATAGATAGATAGATAGATAGATAGACAGACAGACAGACAGACAGACAGACAGACAGATAGATAGATAGATAGATAGATAGATAGATAGATAGATAGATAGATAGATACTTTTTTAGTAATACACATGGCTTGACTTATGAAACCACAACATTCAGAAAAGATAGTCTGATTATTGATGTGTAAAGGTCTTCACAAACACACAGATAATGACACTTTTTTAAAGAATATTTCGCTTTTTGTGAAGTACGCTAAGCTGATGAGTATATCAGACATTGCATTTTACCATTTGTTGACCGATGACCCCATTGCTGGTGATTATGTTATTGTGTTCAAGAGTGTTATTTTCATGAGTGTGATAGAATGCTCTCAAAAGCTGGAACAAAAAAGCTCTAATCGCCACACTCTGATTTGCGGTCACCCATGACTGCTTCTTTAAAGGAAAACGCTTGTAATGGGAGGAGGACTGTAATTTTGCTTGTGTGACAGCATAGTTGAAAGGGGATGACTAAGAATCCATCAGCATGTCACAAGTGGTATCCTCTCATCTCATAAACTGCATATCCTCCCTAACATATCATTTCTACAGCAGGACAAAAAGTATGCAATATTAGTCCTCTGCAAAATATATTACAGCCTTATACAATGATTAATGTCATGTGGAGTTTTTATCATTTAGGGGTTGTAAGGGAACACAAACCTTTGTAATCCAAGGTCATTTGAACAACCACCCTTTAGTTTGTAATACAAATTACATTTGCTCTTGTCTCTCTCAGGATAAAGAGCATTGTAAGTGTCTATAAAAGCAAGATTGGCAGTGTCCTACTGTGCTGTTTTGCTGCATGTACAATAAAATCTGATTAAATCTGTGCCAAATTTCCACAGCAGTTTCGCAAGACTCCAAATAACATGGGTCACTATCTCCCTCTTGTGGCAGAAGTACAAAATGCATAAATCTTTGGTACTACACTCGTGGCTATCACAAAAAAAAAGTACATTTAAATTTTACAGCGTCATGCTTATTATACATAAAGAAAAAAAAACGTTGAGTTTGCAATAATCTTATAGAAGTAAGGAAAATGGAAAAGGGCATGAACTATATGAAAATAGAATACAAAATAAATAAAATAAACATTGTATGTTATTAAATAGCACATAAAACAAATCCAACAACGTGCATGGGTGTATATACATATTTAATTTACCTGATTGACACTTTTTAATCCTCATTTGCCTGGATTTCATGAGTATCTGTGGCCTTCTGCTCCTGTGAGTAAAAAATGCAGTGTTTATTTTATAATTTTTCTTTAACTTGGTGTTTAACACTGTGCTTTAAGCCTCATTTAAACATCATGTGTTGATTGCAGATGGGGGAAATGAGTCGTGAAATGTGTACAGGCTAATATAATATGCTACAGCAATTTTCACACCATGGTGCCTTCATAAGATTTCATTTCAAGGTTTTTATAAGATTTCAAGATTCAACATCACTTATAGAGACAAAATTATGCTTCTTTTTTCCCTGTCACATATGATGAGGAGACTATCCTGATCGTAGCATTTTTGTTTAACACACACATAACATGCGCACACACACACGTTGGGTTTCCATGTTTTATGGGGATATTCCATAGACATAATGTTCCCTTTCAGTCGGTCACTCTCGACGGCATGTCGGAGGACCGACGAATTGGGATCTCGCTTAGATGGACCAATCTACTTCAAGTGTAAACTAAACGAGCCAATGCACATTGGCATGCGATTATTGCATCCAGCTGCTGCTGATCACAGCGTGAGTATAAGTAGGCAGCAGATGCAGCGCATGTTCAGCTTTTCGCTTCGGAGCCGAGCGATCACATTGTTCTGCTCCTGACTACTCTACGGAGAGAAGAAGACTGAACGAGTTCAGCACGCTCTTGGA